TACACACACACTATGATTCCATGGATATAAAATTCAAGACATTAAAAACTAAATAATATATCATCTAGGAATACAAATATATGCGGTAAAACTACAGTGAAAATCAGTGTGATGAAAAATACAAAGCTGAAGAGAATTCTTTGCCTCTGAGAAAGGAGAGAATGGAAGGTAACTGGGAGGTACTTCACTCCGGGATTTCAAAGGTAATGGTAATGCACTTTTCCTTAAACTCGGTGGTAAGTATATGAGTATTTGCTTTTTTTTTTTTTTCTGTATTTTACTGACATACATTTATATCTAGTCACTACTTTAAAAAGACAAATATACTGGGTCATCAGAAAAGTCATGACTCATTTTTGCATAGAAAAACATGGGGAAAAAGGTCAGGACTTTTCCAATGACCCAATAAAGCAAAGAAAACAAGTTACAAATAAAATCAAGAAAGTAGTTGATGGGGCCAGAATGAACATGGGACAGGGGGGATAAATGCAATGGGAAATTGGAACATAAGAAACTTATGTGGTCTTGGGGACCAACAGGTGGTGTGGTGGTTAAAGAGTTGGACACTCCCATGAGGCCAACCATGGTTTGAGTCCTGGACCTGGTGGCTTGCTTTCTCACTTTCCCTCTCTCTCTCTCTCTCTCTCTCTCTGTCTCTCTGTGGTCAAATTAAAATAAATGAATGAATAAATAAAGTAAAATAAATAATTCTTAAGAAAAATAAACTTATGTGGTCTTAAATAGGGGTATCAAAATGTTCTGTTTCTTGGGGGATAGATCCACAAGTTTGTTGTTTAGTTTGATTTTATTTATTCACTTATTTATTTTATTTTATTTTTCCCCCTGTAAGATACGTGTGCTCACTGGCGAGAGAAAAAAAGGGAGAGGGAAAGTGAAAAATCATCTCCTAGAGGGGATAGCCATGTGGCAATCTCTTTTCCTCCATTCTCCTTTTGGGATTTTGGGCACTCATGCACATGCACCTGGCATGTTTTTCAAGGCACCAGTCTGGGACTTGAAATGCTCAGTCGGCCATGTGGGATCTGGCTGCTTTAACCACCACACCACCAGCTGGCCATATGTTCTGTATTCTTTTGTTTCATAATTTGCTTATATGTCATGTATAGGTTTTGCCATATATTTGATAGTCCGTAATATTTTTTTTTCTAATACAAGGCCATCCAGAACTAGCAGTGCCATTCTACTCACCAGAATGCATCTCACTGTATGAACAGCACTTGGATCTTTATGGTTGGCGGCCCAGTGAAGTGGGATCTTGCCTTCAACATCAGGAATCCCAATGTTGGAATCATGCTTGATAAGCAGCTTCACATGCTCAGGGTTATTGTAGTAGGCACTCCAATGCAGAGCTGTTTGCTGAAAAATTGAGGCAATCTCTCAAAACAGCAGTAACAACTAACCTTCCCCAGGCTTTTACTACGTGACAGACACTGAGTATAATTTTCACTTTATCAAACTGAAACTCTGCACCCTGTTAACAGTAACTACCTATTTCCACCTCTCTCCAGATCCTACCAATGATCTCTCTATTCTCTGTCTCAGTGAAGTTGACTACTCTAGGGACTGCATAATTGGAATCTCACACAATATTTGTCCTTTTGTGCCTGACTTATTTTACCTAGCAAGTTTCTTCAAAGTTTATTCATGTTGTACCATGTGCCCAAATTTCATTTCTTTTTAAGACTGAATCTATATCCATATATTACACACACACACACACACACACACACACACACACACACACTAGGTCATCAGGGAAGTTATGATGTATTTTTCTATGTTTTTCTATGCAAAACTGTGTCATGACTTTCTTGATGACCCAACAGATACTATGTTTTGATTATCAAGTTACCTATTCACAGACATTTGGCTTGCTTCCATTTTTTGGTACTGTGAATAGCACTACTACTGAATATGGATGTGCACTTACTTGTTTAGGTCCTTTATTTCAAATCTTCTGGGTATGTTCATCCCAGAAGTACAATGCTGGATCATATCTTAATTCTAAGTTTAACTTTTGAGTAATTGTCATGCTATTTTCTGTAACAGTTGTACCCTTTTTTTAAGAATGTAAACCTGGGACCTTCCTATGTGGGCCAAGGTGCATTACTGCTGCATCGTTGCCTGGCCCCGTTTTGCCCATTTTTAAATTTGTTGTGGTTGTTGTCGCTGTCTGTCTTCATTCTATTATTTATTTATTTATTGCCAGAAGGTGCATATGCTCAACAGAGAAAGGCAAGAGAGAGGCAGAGGGACCTAATAAAAGGCAAGAAAGACAGAGAGGCAGAGGGAGAAAGGACCCCCCAAGTGAAGGGTAGTTATGCTGTAAGACCCTCCCAAGTAGGGGATGGTCATGCTGTGATCCCTTCTTTTCTATTTTTCCATCCTATCTAGATTCGGGCATGCATGCGTATATGTGTCTGGCCTATTTTTCAAGCCACAAGGACTGGGATTCAAACCACAGTCTGCGATGTGGGGTGGAGCTTCCTTAATCAGTAGGCTTAGAGGGTGGCCCTGGTGTTCATATTAAAAGTATGCTATAAAATAATTGATCTGTGACAGATTGGAAACAAACAAACAAAAATCCTGATCCTTCACAGATAGTTTGAGAATCACTGTTCCTTTTTTTTTTTTTTTTCTTTTTTAGGAATTATTTTATTTTATTTTATTTTTTATTGAAAGGTTTTTTCGCTATAGGTCGCGTGCGCTCGCCAGACACACAGAGAGAGACATAGAGACAGAAAGCGAGAAATCACCCCCCAGGGGGGATGGTCACGCCGCAATCCCTTCTCCTCCATTCTCCTCTTGGGATCTTGGGCACGCACGCACACGCGTCCGGCGTGAGTTCTAAGCCACCGGGCCCGGGACGCGAACCGCGGTCGACTACATGGGAATCCAGCGACATAGACATTACGCTAACTGCTGGTTCCCAGGAATTATTTTATTTAACTTTATTCATTTATTTAAATTTGACCAGAGAGGGAGGGGGAGAGAGAGAGAGAGAGGAAACAAGCCACCAGGTCTGGGACTCAAACCAGGGTGAGCCATGTGGGAGTCCAATGTCCTCAACCACCACGCCACCTGCTGGCCCCGAGAATCACTGTTCTAGGCTTTTGTTTTACTCTCATCTCTGTGCCGACCTGGACCATTAGGTCTATCTTCTATTTGTCTGACTAGATAACCTGTCATCCCTGTGCAACAACAGAAAAGTGTACAGACACTGGAAGACAGCAGGAAGCTCCTAGAATATATTGGAGAAGACATTATAAAGTCCAAAGAGAATTGTAGCTTCTAAAGTGATTAAAGGGCCACTGCAGATTGTTCAAAGTGCTTTTTTCAGAGAAATATCAGCACTACAAATGCTGTTAGGAATAATATTAATTTACAATAGTCGTAAAGTTAAAGTTGATCTCAGAATTCTGGATGACTATTAAACTAAATCTGAAAACTACATTTAAAACACTGTGAGAGTGAAAGATTATTGACTATAAACCCAGTAGATTTCTCATCATGAGAGTTTGTTTGTTTTTGAGACAGAGAAAGAGAGAAATTTTCGAGAGAGAGGAAATCTGGACAAAAATATTTGATTGACATGTTGCCATTTTGTGATCCCCTTTCCTAGCCTCCCAGATGGCCAGGACCACAAGTGTGTGTCACCATGCCTGGCCTGTTTTTAGGTGGGACTAGGAACCAAACCTAGGCCTTGCATGCTGCCTCAGCCACTGTACCGTGGCACCTTCCCACTTGTGTCACGAGGGCTGGGCCAGTCTTAGGAGTTTTAATTACAAGGCAGCATTGGTGGTAAGATGACCCTTTCCTGGTGGAAAGAAAGAATTATTGCACTTGTCTGAGTAAAGACCACACTTTTTTCCCTATAAAGAATGTTCAGAGCATCAGTCAAACAATGCCCAATGGGGGCCAGCAGGTGTCGTGGTGGTTGGGGTTCTGAACTTCCATATGGACAACCGCGGTTTGAGTTCCCGACCTGGCAGCTTGCTTTCTCATTTTCCCTTTCTCTTTCTCTGGTCAAATTAAAAATAATAATAATAAATAAAATTAAATAGGCAATTATTTAAAAACAATGCCCAGTAATTATTTAAGAGCAGGAAAGATAACAAATTCTAGCAACAATGTCACAGCAGATGTTAGAATTGAAATGAAATTTTTAATTATTTTACAGCTAACATTTATTGAAAGCATAGTACACACTGAGCACTGTGCTATGCAATTTACATTATTCTCTTATCTTCAGTATGCCCACCACTCTTTCTTCACATATGTGAAAACTGAGGCACAGAGGAGTTAGGTCATTTGGCCAAGGACACTCAACAAGTAAATAGTGGCTTCTGGATCGAAACTTGAGAAGTCTAATGCCGAAGTCCAGGTCATTAAACCACTGTGCACTTAGTACATTACTCTGGGTATTTAGCCACTTAAGTCTAACCATCTACAGTAACTATCATGGCTATCTAACAAATATTGAGCTTTGGAGTTACACAGGGCTGGATCTGAATTCTAGTTCTGCCACTTGGCTCTTGAACACAATTTTAATCTTCCTGAACTATAGTTTCCCCATCTGTAAAAAGGAGTTGCTACTACTTACCACACATGGGTGCTACAAGGATAAAATGACACAGTTTAAAGGAATTACTTTCCCAAAATGTATGGAGACTTGGAAATGTTCCATCATGTGTATGGTGAAAATTTAGGTCTTCTTTCTTGAAGTTTAACATCATAAAAGGAAACATGTGATTTGCCTTATTTGTCTTCAATTTTGACAGTCCATTACCTTGTTTTTATCTTGGGTATCCACCTCTCCCGGTGCCATAAACTTTAGCAGAAGTGCCAAACACTTAGGGCTCTTGTGCCGGGTGGTCAAGTGCAAAGGGGTCATCTCTTCTAGATCCTTTTGCATCCAGTTTGCTCTACGTGTGAGTAAGAGTTTCATGAAACGATAATTTCCCTAAATAAAGAACAAGAGAAATTAAGAAAAATTTATGCCTGGGGCCAAATTAAAAAAACAAGTATTTTAATTATTTTCCTAGAGTAATAACATTCAGAGAAATTAATAAAAGGAAAAATACTCCTAATTTCACTGTACTAAGATATCAATTGTTTTATTATTTTATGTTTCTTCCTGATCACTTTGTACATAAATATAATTTACACAGTGGTTGGTAAATTATTTTATGGGACTCAGGCAACATTTTATTTAATAAGTTTTCTTTTTAGATTTTTTTTTTTTTTAAGAGCGATTTTTTTGCTATAGGGTGCGTGTGCTCTCTGGAAAGACAGAGAGACAGAAAGCAAGAAATCATCTCCCTGGGGGATGGCTACACTAAAATCCCTTCTCTTCCATTCTCCTTTTAGGAGCTTGGGCACGCATGCACACACACCCCGTGTGAGTTTCAAGTCACCAGCTCTGAGACTTGAAACATGGTCGACTATGTGGTAGTACAACAACATAACTATTATGCCATCTTCTGGTCTCTAGATATTTATAATGTATCCAACAGCTTCTTTTCTTTCTTTCTTTTCTTTTTTTTTTTTTTAGAATTGTTTTATTTAACTTTGTTTATTTAAATTTGACCAGAGAGGGACAGAGTAAGAGAGAGAGAACGAGAAATTGAGAAAGCAAGGCTCCAAGTCCAGTATTTAAACCACAGTCAGCCATGTGGGAGTCCAGCGTCGTTAACTACCATTTATCTATAAGTTTCCTGAAGTCCCTGTGTATATTTTTTTCTCTTTACTGTGATCTCCCACACAAACTGGAAGTTTCATGAAGGCAGAATGTATGTTCTATTGACTGCTGTGTTCAGTATAGTTCCTGGCATAAAACAGGTGCTCCATGACTATTACTTGGACTGAGTGAAGAAGAAGAAATTAAATACCTTCCAGAGGTTTTTGTTTTCATTTAAAACTCTTTTTTTTGGGAGAGGTTTTCTTTTCTTTCTTTCTTTCTTTTTTTTTTTTTTTTTTTTTTTTTTGCTATAGGGTGTGTGCTCTCTCCAGAAAGATAGACAGAAAGTGAGAAATCATCCCCCAGGCGGGATGGTTCCCCAGGGGGGATGGCCACGCCGCAATCCCTTCTTCCTCCATTCTCCTCTCGGGATCTTGAGCATGTACGCACATGCACCCGGTGTGAGTTTAAGCCACCGGGCCCCAGACTTGAACCGCGGTCGACTACATGGAGTTCATCGACATAGCCATTATGCTAACTGCTGGTCCCTAAAAATCTTATTAATGGGGGGCCAGCAGGTGGTGTGGTGGTTGAGGAGACTGAATCCCACCTGGTGGACTTCACGGTTTGAGTCCTGGACCTAGTGGCTTGAAAATCAGGTTGTCATGTGCATGTCCAAAATCCAGAGAGAGTGAAGGAAAGGGATTGCAGCATGGCCACCCCTCTGGGGGAGTGATTTCTCACTTTCCTTCTCTCTATCTCTGGTGAACATGTGCACTCAATAGAAAAAAATAAATGAAGAAATAGGGGTCAGTAGGTGGCACAGTGGTTATGGCACTGGACTCCCATATGGCCAACCATGGTTCAAGTCCCAGACCTATTGGCTTGAAACACACTGGCCGTGTGTGTGTGCATGTCCAAAATCCCAAGAGAAGAATGGAGGAGAATGAACTATGGTGTGGCTATCTCCCCTGGGGGGTGATGTCTTACTTTCTGTCTCTCTGTCTCTTGGGCAAGCACATGTGCCTTATAGCAAAAGTCCTTCTTAAACATTAAAAAAAAAAAAAAAAAACTTAAAAAAATCGTATTTATGGTTGCTGTATTAGACCATAACAGTTAAGAATCATAATTCCCAAATATCTGGTAATTGGCTATTCTTACTTTTTAATGTTTCATTTATCTGTTCTTCATGAAAGTGTCCATCACTATTTACATTTCTCTTTTTACTCACTGACAGTTCTTGAGAAGGAAGGTGCTAAAATTTCCTCAAGAGGGCACCCTGCTCTAAATTTCTTGCCATTTTTTCTTTGAAAAAAGAAAGTGCCCAGAAAAAACAAATCTATGTGACAAGTCCTACCGAAAAATAAGGTTTGACCTTTCTGAGCATAACATTTCAAATATTACAGAATAATTCATCATGACCTTTTAAAGATATTCAATCAGACAATCATTTTGATTGTGAAATTAGAGGAAGAGGGAAGGAGAAGTAAAGTACTGTATGTCAGTGAGGGGAACTACTGAGATACAGACACAGTGCTTGGCATATTTATGCTTTATGTTATTCTGGGGACTCTACCTACACGAAACATGCTACACTGCAGTAACAATACTTACTCAGTCATTCGCTAATTCACTCAACAAACGATCATTGAGCCTTGCTACGGAGCAGGCAATAGCACAAGGTCCGAACTTCACTTCTTTATAACAGAGCCCTTTTGCATAGGTTTCATTTTTGCTCCTCCATAGAACTATCAGGGAAAACTTTTACACATTAAATAAAGTATCCTCCTATGACTCTATTTTATTATCTATAAAATAGGGTTGATAATAATGCCTGAAATTATTGGGTTGTCAGAAAAGTCATGACATATTTTTCTATTTCTCTATGCAAGAATGCATCATGACTTTCCTGATGACCCAATATCATGCATATGAAATGAGATAGATAGTATTTGTAAAGTATTTAGGGCAGTACACAAGTCAAATGCTCAATAAATGTTTGCTAGTATTTTTTTTTTAAATTTTGCCAGAGTGTATGTACATTCACGAGAGAGTCAGAGAGAGAGGAGAAAACACCTACCATGGGATATGGCCAAGGCCCAATCCCTTCTCTATTTCTCCCACTTTTCTGATTATGGTCACATTTGTACACATTTTTCAAGCCGCTGGGTCTGGGACTTGAACTACTCAGTTGACCATCTAGGCATTCAGTCGCCTTAACCACCAGGCCACAGGCTGGCTTGCTAGTATTATTATGGACAGTTTTCCAGTGTAGAGGAGGCAACAAAATATAGTCAGGAAGAATGAGGATTGCCCATGACAATGAGCATGTAGATAGCAAAATTTGATTATATTAGGTCTTTGGGAAAGTCATGATTTTTTTTTTTGTATTTTTCTATGCAAAAATGCATCATGACTTCCCAGATGACCCAATAGTATACCTAGTTCAACTAGTGATTAAGGCAAGAACCAAGATTAGGGACAGGTAAAAGTAAAAATAATTAGAATGTTGTAAATAATATTTTTCTGATTTTTTTTTTACGATGAGAAAGATGTCTATATTCTACCTATAGGTAATGATGATCTAAGACTAACACAACTGATAGGAATTTAGTCGATACCCTAGGGAGAGAACAGCTCCCTCTTCCAGAGGACAGAGACCCATCAGATATTATTTATGAAGGTTGGAGCTAGAAACAATATAGTTCACTTGGACTAACGGCAACGTCCTTGGTCTCACAAATGAGCATTTATTAAATGTCCATTACATGTAAATTCAGTCTCAGGATGAGAAGAAGAACAGAGAACTTTAAGAGCTAAAATCAAAATATTTCTAGTGTCAGTGAAAAGGGGGAAGATACTAGCTTGAGGCAGCAAGCTAATTTGACAGCTTCTTGAAGGCTGTATGACCCTGGGGACCCATGTTCTAGGCCACTTGCCTTCCCCCAAACCCATTTCAGCACAGAAACAAACAAAATGTCTAAACATTTTTTCAATATTGCTTGACATGAGGACTTTGTAGGTTTTCAGGAGTATTTTTTTTTTTTAAGATTTTTTTGCCATAGGGCATTTGCCCTTATGGGAAAGAGAGACAGAGACAGAGACAGAGACAGAGAGAGGGAAAGTGAGAAATCACTCCCCTCCCTCACCCAGGGGAGATGGCCAAGTCACAATTCCTTCTCCATTCTCCTCTTGGGATTTTGAGCATGCATTCACACACACTCAATGTGATTTTCAAGTTGCCAGGTCCAGGACTTGAACTGTTATAACAGCGTCTTACCCACCACACCAAATACTGGTCCCAAGAAATATTCTTATAATGCAAATACTTCGAGAAAGACCTGGAAGTTCATCATTTAATACCACCTCTTAGGGTCACAGAAAAATTGATCCTGAAGTGAGGATTATATTGGGATGTTTGTGCATTTATAATAGAAAAGAAAAAAATAGAACAAAAGAGTATATCTTCTTTATTTCTTTTTAGGTTTTTGGCATAGGGTGTGTGTGCTTACCAGAGAGAGACTGAGAAGGAAAGTGAGAAATCACCCTCTGGGGAAGATGGCCACACTACAATCACTTTTCCTCCATTCTGCTCTTGGGATTTTGTGCATGCACACACACATGCCTGGCATGATTTTCAAGTCACACTGGGCCCGAGACTCAAACCACAGTTAGTCATGCGAGAATCTAGCGCCTTAACCACTATGCTACCTTCCTCTTAAGAGGTATATCTTTTTAAGAAAACTTTTAGGTGAGAAGTGAGAGAGCTGAAGTCATAGAAATATCCTAATTTAGTCACAAAAAAAAATTATGCTGATGTGATGAGGTCTATTATGCTTCTGAAACACAGAACTATTTCCTAATGTGTCTGAAACAGTGAATAAAATGTTTTCTTGTTTTTTGTTAGTCATAATTCTCATCTTAATCTTCTCATAATTATTAATGCCAAGAGCTTGTTTTGTTAGTAATGTAAATGATTATGACATTTGGATTTTTCCCAAATGTATGAAAAGGACTATAATTTCTGAAAAGGTGAAAGAGAATAAAAATGCTCTCTGACCTGGAGAACAGCACTTGAAATGAATCTGGATAACAAATCAAACCCAAATACCAATTTTAACTTCATACCTTGGTCTGTACAGTTCTCTTACAATGAACTCCCTTACAAAAATACAGAGGGATCAGCAGAAGGCAAAATGGTTACATTGTTGGACTCCCACATAGCTGACCGTGGTTTGAGTCCTGGACCCGGTGGCTTAAAACTCACACTGAGCACATAGTCA